GTGAACAATATTTGAGAGAAATAGGCCTTTTGTGTACATAGAAAAAGTCTTAGATCTTTGAGTTCAGCTCATGAAAAATGGGGGCAAAAACAAAAGTGTTGCGTTTATAATTTTGTTCAGTGTATATATATATATATATGAAGAATTCATTTGCAAAAACAGATAATTGTGTATTCCAATTAATCTCAATCACGCTGCAGTTGGGTTATTTTGATTACGTTAAAAAATAACTAAAAAATACAGCTAACTAACACAATAAAACAATTAAAACATGATAACATAATAAAAACATGATTTTTGAAAAATAGTTATATGTTTTTGCAAATAAACTTCAGATAGATAGATAGATAGATAGATAGATAGAGAGATAGATACAAATATTAAATAGTTTGAGAGTGTTGGAATTCTTAATTACGCCATTCACAGTGCTTCATTGAAACTGCTTCTTTTGTCTCAATTCTCTGAAGAATCATGGGAAATGTAGTTTTTCACCAGGAATTCCACTGTTAAACATGATTATTTACAAAATAAGTTGAAATGATGTGGGTTGATGGCTTCAACAAAAGCATATACTATCGATTAACAACCTCGCAGCTCACAGTAGATCTGTTTTTAACGGTTTATAAGTTATCGCTAAAAATCAGTTCCCTATGGAAAATATTAATACGATTTTTAATGACAGAACCTGACAACATTGGACCCCACTGACTTTCATTGTATGGCCATTTTTCAAACTTTTTCTTTTGTTTTTTCCAGAATAAAGAAAGCCATACAGGTTTGGAACAACATGTAGGTGAGTAAATAATGACATCAATGGGCATCTTATGATGATCACTAACAAAATCTCTTGCAAATACACTAGGAGAAAGAAAAAAATAGTATTTTTTTCTTGTTTTTGAGGCTTCTTTCAGCTCCAATACTTCCATCAATCATTCCAGTAGCACATTCTTGCAACATTATCTTACCTCCCCACCCACTGCCTTTTCACTTTCATTTCTTAGCCCATTTCTTCCAAATCCTCTGTATTTGTTTTCTACCTCTACATTTTTAATTTCCTTTTTTCAAGCTGACATTTCAGACATCTTTCTATTCTTAACCAATGAGTCACAGCTCATCAGACATTTTTAATCATAAATATGTCGATCGCTGTCAGCTCAGAGTGTGTTTAGTAAAAACACAGACGGCTTTACATGTTCACAAAGAGTGTTGTTGCGTTTGAGGAGACACACGCAAACGGCGAGGGATGTGGGACGTTAAACAGCCGCAGGGCCTGCAGGATGGCACAAAGGCACACCGAACGTGAGAACACATGCATAAAAAACTGAATGTATGTCTAAACCAATCCATTAGCTGTTGCCTTTGGCACTGATGAAGACAATGACCACTCTCTTCCTTTGTGAGGAAACAAAAGCAACCCTGTTGCCCATCTGAAATGCTCAGGTTTGACTACCAAGCAGTCTGTGGCGATCAACATCATCAGAAAAAGAAAAAGAGTCTACAGGGTGAGTTAGTGCAGGTAATGCAAAGGTTAAAGGTTAAGTCCTACCTATCAGTATCATCTTGACTCTTGGGATTAAAGTGGTGAACAGTCCCTCTCACGCTGTTCATTCCATCTGAGACCCATTTAACCCTTCTGGAGTACAGGCTGAGACCTCCGTCCGTCATGTATCTGCAGACACACACACACATTAAAATGCTGGTTCAGCACACAAGATACAAATTGCAGGTCTTATCTGTAAATGAAGCATAAACAGGCTGTCTTGTGAAACTCTACAGTTAAATATGTAGCGAGACGCATTAACAAAAGCAAATATTTTACATGATGTTGCCACCGCCTGATGATCTATGATCTATACATGTCCGGCTCCTTTGACGGCATGTTGTGTCTGCACGTTCACATTCATAACAGATGAATTCAATTAACTACAAACAGATGAAAGACAAACATTTGTCAATTTCTCAAGAAATCAGCCCACAGGAAAAACCTGTTTTTCTACCCAAGTAGAGAAGTGCGATAATTTTAGAACTTGCCATGGATTGTACAGGAAATACTTTTTTTTTAAATTTACATACATAACATACATACATACATACAGACACACACACACACACAATAATATTTACCCCCAATATATATTGTTTTGGGTCACTTCATAGCATGCCATAAAAATATAGTACATTTTTCATATAAATATATAAAAACAAACTAAAAACAAATACATGTATATAACATTTTTATGTTTTAGTATTCATTTTGTCATTTTAGCCTCCAAATATATTGTTTTGTTCGCTTCATAACATGTAAAATCCTAAAAGCCAAGATATATCGTTAAACATGTTTACATGCAACATCATTTACATAGCCAAAATAAATATAAATCTTACAAATCCATATAAATATAGCATATTTCTAGAATAAATATATGAATATATGAAAAGAAATAAAAGACACACACACACACACACACACACACACACATATATATATATATATATATCCCAAAAAATATTCCCAAACAATTATGTTTGATAAGAAGTTACAAATGAAACCTGCATCGTATAACTTAATCAATATGATACAAGCTAGTTTAAATGAACCTCAATTCAAAAACTATTAAACCAAAGCAGCTATAAACTAGACCAAGTTCCTCTCTTAATTTAACACCAACAATACCTTAACCAGCATGCAAGTCAAAATATTCACTCACCTCACCAAAGGTCACAAGCTAGGACTGCGACCATCAAGAAAGTCTGGTTGGTTTCACATGACCGTGTCTGTTGACTCTTAAGGTGTGCGTTTATGTATTTGTGATCTTACTGTAAGTGCTTATCCATGTTCTTAATATCCCTAAGGACACATTGCACTGAGAAGTGAGGAGAGAGAGAAAATAAGAGCGATTGTGGGTTGGTCTGCAGGCAGAAGTGGACAGGTGAGCTGTGTAGGACAGTGTGTCTTAACCTGAGGCACTAGGTGGATGGGTGTTTACTCTGTTAAACCGTTTAAGTGGATGTTCTAAACAGGTTCTCAAAAGAGAGTCATTTGCCCACTGGGGACAAGCAATATGAACCAAACACTTATAACTACTGCAGGGGGAGAGCAGCGCTGATAACAGGCTGATCCAATTCCAGATAAGCTTGATGTTTCAGGTTAATATGATTTTTACCATGTAACAGATGCATCTCTTTCACAACAGAACTACAACACAATAATACTGAATAACATCTTGTTGCACTGTTAAAAAATATATACAAATAAAAAAAGCCTGAAATTTCAGGTTGCCTGAAATCCCCTGGAAATGTTTATAATAAGAATAAGAATAATAATATTAATAATTTATTTTTATTTATAATAATTTTAATTAATACATTTTTTTATTAATTAAATATTTACATTTACATTTGTTTTATTTACAATAATCTTTTCTTTTTTTTTTTGTGATACAGAAGGCCACATGACGAATTATCATTTACTAATATTATATAATTCAATGTTATTCTTTATGCAATTTTTTCTGTAAAGAGGTGAATGTCTTTCAAAAATATTTCATTGAAAGTGAATTCAATGTCCAGGTAAAAATAATATAGATTTTGAACATAAATTATGTGGTAGTAACTATTTCACAATATTTATTATTAGATTTAACAAAAAAATGACATGTTTTGTCCTGTTAAACTAAATGTTTATATAAGTAAAATGAAAATAAAAATATAAGGTAACACTTTCGTTTAATGACCAATTCTTACTATTAACTAGTTGCTTATAAGCATGCACATTACTAGCATTTTGACTGTTTATTAGTACTTATAAAGCACATATTAATGCCCTTATCTGCACAACCATATTCTAGATCCCTTATGCATTTGTGTGTGTGTGTGTAATTTATACATAAAATTATATAAATATATATATAATTCTCAAATTGTAATGCCCCTGTGGACTGTTTGTTGTGGTTTCTTCCCTTTGTGTTGGTTTAGCCCGTCTAATCATTAGTTAATCACCGTCATTGTGCTCACCTGTCTGCCTCTAATTATTCACCCCTTATTAGTTCCTGTCTGTCTGAGCATTGGTGTCGGTTATTGTGAATGTTACCCCGAGTGTGTGTGTTTCACCTACCTGTACCTGCCTTGTTGTGTCTACATTAAAAGTGAGTAGTGGAATTCTTGTTGTCCTCGTCGTCCTGCCTGCCTCCACACATCCGTATCCGTGACACAAATATATATATATATATATATATGTTTGTATATGTGTGTGTGTGTGTATATATATATATATATATATATATATATATATATATACACTGTATATGCATACACATTTTTTTTAACAGGATGTTAAAAAATGTTTAATCTTGTTTAATCTATTATAATCTAATAAATGTTTACATACAGTAACATTAACACTTTTTTAATATCAAATTCCTAAACATTTTCCCAGTATCAGCTTTGTTGATTGTAATGGGAGTGAGTTAGTTTTGGTTGCAGATGGTGACGAGACAGATCCTGAAGATGTCTTAACAGACACGCATCCTTTAGCTTAATCTCTCATTTCCTGCTGTGAAGCAATCAGGTGACAGCGTTTCATCACCCGCAGCGGCTGACTAACCTGCCGGGCAGGTGGAAAATTTACAAACAGCATACGCCACACTAATGATTTAAGTAATTCACTTCAGGTAATTAAACAGTACATGAATCATCAGGTGCGATTCAGAGCAGAAAAATCAGAAGTCAGTAAATATGAATTTCACAATCGTGGTTGCTTAATCATAATTTTCAAAACATCTATCAAAGGTTTAGCAACTAGTAGCGTGCAAAGATATTAAATTGGTCTATTTTGTTTATTGTAAACCTATAATAAAACTGTAAATGTGTTTAGTACATTTAAGTGACCATTTAGCATACTAATTAAACTGAATGATTAAAATGTACTTTCTTTTAGCATATATCCTCTGTAACCTTTGGCAACTGTCTTGTCACGGTACATGAATTTGGTAAATAAACAATACCATGGTATGCATGGTAGCACCCCCATCTGATATCATCACTGAACTATAGTACCAGCATTGTACTTTTTGTAGAGGTTATCTATGATTGTGAATAGTGTCTGTGTTTTAATGTTAGGACTGGACAATATTTCCTATTCTTTAGTTCCCTGACAGGTGTGTCTCTGGGAACAACGGCTTCTGTTTAACGTCGGTTACTGTGCAACAAAACTTGTTAACATTAGTTCAACCAGTTAAACACTCTGCCCCAATGAGGTTATTCATTTGCCCTGACCTGGTAACCCACTGCAAGTCAATCAACATCAGTCTCGCAGACAGACTCGCAGACCATGTAAATTTAAATAAGAAAATTACTCCTGTTTTCAAGAACAAAAATATTTGTTTTTATAATTTTTCATCAAAATGTAATAACTTTCTATACTCTCTGTTGATGTTTCCAAGGCCAAATAGGCAAGGAAAAATAAATGAAAATAGGCAGAAAATAAATAAATAAATAAAATAATGTAAAATAATCTGTCCTTGTCCTACACGTTGTCTACAAATATTTTATGTAAATATTTTATTAAAAAGTTTTAAAATATAAATAAAATAAAATGTTTTTTTACCAAGAAATAGCATCTACGTTTCAATCAATTATGAATTAATTAAATTGTTTCAATTTCTAAATCATTAGAAATGGATTCCAATTCTAAATTTTTTCATACAAATTATATGCTCAGTTAAAAGTTTTTACAAATAACATAAAAAAAGAAATGTTTTTTATTAAAAAATAGCATCTACATTTCGATCAATTATGAATGTATTAAATTGTTTCTCGTCCTAAATGTTATCCTAAATAAATCCTACAAATTATATAGAGAGTTAAAAGTTATTCAAAATAATTAAAATAAAATAAAATAAAATAATCAGGTCCCATCCTACACGTTTTCTACAAATATTTAATTATTTTATTTTATATTTCAATTTTATAATATTTTATTTTATATTTAATTATTTTATTAAACAGTTTTTAAATATAAATAAATAAAATATTTTTAATAAACGAAATAGCATACACATTTAAATCAAATATCACTAGAAATTGATTCCGATCCTATGTTTTCCTACAAATTATATACTCAGATTTACAAATAAAATAAAATAAAATAAAATAAAATAAATGTTTTATAAAAAAGATAGCATTTACATTACAATCGATTATGACTGGATTAAATTGTTTCTCATTCTAAATGTTTCTAAAGGTTTTCCTACAAATTATTTACTCAGTTAAAAGTTATTAAAAATAATTCAAATAAAATAAAATAAACACACTTTAATAAAATCTCACTGGATAAAATCAGTACCTGTCCTACATATTTTCTCACAAAATGTCCTGTATCATTCAGTTAAATGTGAATTTTAAAAAAATCTGAAAAAAATAAGACAAAATAAAACTGATGCTTGATGGATATAAACAATACTCTCCCTACATAATCTCCCACAAAACATTGTTAAATGCTTTTTACGTGGTCTTCATCCAATTATTCAAACATGTAACTAAGATAAGCTAGTAAAAAGGCACTAATCCAAACCAAGGCATCAGGTTTTAGAAACAGAATTTGCTGTAAGTACTCAATGTTGACTGCGCTTCAAAATCCATCCATATATGGTCTCAGTAATTGGGCTTAAAAGCTTTTTCAACTATGATCAAATGTCTCGCAAAGATTTTCTTGTGGTGACAGAATCCCTCTACTGGAATTCAGCACTGAGCAGAAGGAATATGAGAATCCAATAAAAGGTGTCTGTCTGATTCCTGTTTGAACAGGACTAGGGAAAGATTATGCACGATTCTGTGTGTACATTGCTACATGTGCTGTGTTTGTACATTTCGTCGCATTTCCAAATTTGGATGTAGCCTCATATCTCTTCCGCGGGGTCAAAAGGTTGCAGATTTTTCCATGAAAATCAGCTAAATGCATGTCTGCGAGGTAAATTCAAGTACTCTTTCTCTTCGTGCCACAAATATTCATATATTCACCCTCTCTCAGGATTCAACCATGAATATTTGCCATGACCCCTGTCTCCCGTCTTCTTACCACAGGCTACATGTTGCGTTTTCATGTCCTACTGACAGACAGCCAAATGAACAGCTGATAACAGACATATGAACAAAATAACTGCGAACATGAAAGAGTTTTTGGGGCTTTTAAAGTATTGTTGCACAGTAGTGATACCCTAATGTACACATTTGTGTCAGTAGCTGTTAAAAGCAACATACAGAAGCAGACGAGCTTGGGTTGTGATTGCATGGTCCAAAACAAGGCCAAGAGTTCATCCACACACACTGTAATTTGCATGTTGCCACAAACCACACCAGTATACCATGACTTTGAGCATGCAAGCAAAACTGGCAGAGCTCCTAGTGAACGACACAATGAAAGAGCGATGGGAATAAAGAAAGCTGGATCAGCGTTACATGATTACATGCTAAAAAGCTGTGGCTAGCCGCTCATGGGACACAGTAGGAATTCAGCGCAGGGCGCGTCGAGCCACTTTGCTACACACACACACACACACACACACACACACACACACACTAATACTGTATCTTCTGATATATAGTGCTAAATGGACATTATAACTTGTTAAAAATGTCAATTATACATCTTTGTAACTATCATCAAAATTAAAAAAAGCCTAAAAAATGGTTTCACTTTTTGTGAATTGTTATACTGAACATGAAAGCTACAGTATTTTTGCCAGTATGACTGTCTTCTTAAGCAAAGAATGGTTAAAAAAAAGAAAAATTGGTTATAATAACATTTGTGAGTTGTTTGGAAGTAACTCGTTCAAAATAAACTAGTAAAAAGGACTAGCAAAAGAGCGCCACCCAGAGGCAGATGTAGAGAGATGCATTCTTACCTGTATTTTACCATACATTACTATATACTGTATATATCAATAATGGACGGTCCTTAAGGTTTTTTTTTTTTTTTTAATCAAATGCAAATTCATGTCCCAGTCACATTTTCTTGGTTAAATAAATATTACTTACATTATCAGAAAAAGAAAAAAAAACACAATTCTATTTTATATTTTTAAATAAACAGTGTAATCAATATTGCATTTCTTAAAGCCAAGTATGAATCTCATCAACTAAGTGTTTTTAAGCATTTTACATTTATTCCAAAATAATAACTCAAGGCAGTAACAATTTAATCAACATATTTTATTTGTGAACTTATGTTCAGCTACTCTTTTTAATAGTTAACTTTTAACTATTTTTGAATTTTTAGGCTCATCATTCATCAAAGCATGGAAAATATTGTTCACAGACGTGGAGATTTACTTTAAATTTCACCAAGCTGATTACTCACTAAAAACTCCCACAGATCATGTTTTTATGTCTTATTTTGATGTAACAAAGTGCTTATACAGTATCTAAGTGTGTGAGTTGTTTACTTACTTTTTAAAATTAGTCTTCCCATTAACGCCATTATACTGTTCATTCAGACTGATTCGTGAACGTGGAACGCGCATGAACACAAGAGGCAGGATTTATCACATTAACCAATCACAGCCGATCATAACCAGTTATATCCAATCATATCGCGATGGAGGCTTTGCTTCCTCTCACGTGACTTTCCCCCATTCATTCTCAATTACCTCCCACCAAACCCACCGCATGCTTTAGGGGGTCTGTTAAAACTCAATGGGCTCAGGGGAGACGAGAGAGACGCGGACCCCCACTGTAACTTTACCTGCTGTGTCGCTGTTGAACAGTTTCTTTAGAAAAACTAGTTTTTTTTTTTTATACATCTTTTAATGTTAAGTGTTAATTTAAGGTAAAAAAAAAAAAAGTATTACAAAATTACAGTATAAAATAACAGAAATACAGCTTAAAACAAAACTAAAATTTTAGATGAAAAACAAACTTAAAAGAAAATGATAAATGTTGCTTTGTCAACAAACTGCAAAAAATAAGTACTGGAAAAGTACTAAAAGAAAAATAAAGCTGAACAGAAATATTGATATTATAAAAATATAACTAAAATGTCAAAAGCACATAAAAAAGTACTAAAACCTAAACTAAATTTAAAATAAAAACTGAAAATATAAAATTAACAGCTAATTAAAAATACGACTAAATACTTTGTAAAACCATTTAAAAAGGTGGCATATAAAAAAGGCTTTACTTACCAACTTATTAGTAAAATAAATTTAATTGCAACTGAAAAATTTAATAATCAGTATTTAATTAACACAATATTTACCCTCCCCCTATTTTTTTAGTAGATGACACAAATGTTACACTCTTAAATGGCCAAACGGACACAGTAATCTCAGTATGGTCAAATATCATTAAAGCTGATTTATCAAGATTTGAAAACTTTGCAAACACACCATCAAACCACACTCACCCACTGGTCACAGTATCCATCTTCATGCTCTTGCCCAGGACGTCCCCATCATTCATGTACCCCGCTGTTTCCATGGCGACGCCCTCCAGCTCCTCCACCTTCTCTGAGAATTCAAGGCCGCAGAGGACTCCGTTGTGCGTGCAGGTCTGATGCCTGTGTGTGTGCCGCCCACAGCCACTGCCATGCTGTACGAATGCGTTTCCTGAAGAGGGGGCATCACCAGCTTGAAGGCGAGGGCTGGATGAGCCCAGTCGCCATGGCAACGCAGAAGCAGGGCGGGAACTGAAGGCAAGCAAAGCCCTCCCATTGATCTCAGTAGTTACGGTGCTGTCAAAGGTCGTCTCGAGGGTGCTGGCAGGTGATAGTCAGACAGGAAAGATATCAGAAGTTAATGATGACATTCGAATGGTGTAAACTATAGGTCTCATGGGCTATTTGCCACTTTGATACAGAAAATAAAGCTGAGAATGTAATACCTAAAAGTAAACCTTTTTGTTGTATATCAAATAGTTGTGTGGACCATTTTTGGAGTTCGTCCCCATTCTCTTTCATTCAATGGAAAGAACAGCAGGGTCATTCTCAAAAATGAATTTTATTATGAATTATTTTTCATCACTGAAATGTCAAGGGAACAATCTTATTTTAGTATTATTTACATAATGTAGCATTTATTAATATTTTGAATTCGTGTTTTTTTCTTTCTATTTTTATATTTTCAGTTTTAATTTTAAATTGAATTTTAGGTTTCAGCAATTTTTACATTTTTATTATTATTATTACTATTATTAATAATAATATTAATATTACCACGACTATTACTACTACTACTACTACTACTACTACTATTATTATTATTATTATTATTATTATTAATTTTCCATTTAGCTTTAATGTACATTTCAGGTTCAGTAAATTAAATGTCAACTTAAACTTATACAATTAAATTACCTTTAAACAAGGCAGCATTTCCCATTTTTAAGTTTTTTTTTTTAAGTTTAAGGTTTTAATTTAATATTTATATTTTATTTCAGCTTTATTTCAATTATCAAAAACATTTTTTAATATTTATAGTTAACAACAATGACACTGCCTGCAAGGGACATACCTGACACCATATTTCAGCATTGACATTTTGCAAAATAACTCCTTCTGTCTTTCACCAAAGAAAATAAAACAATAAGAGTTTGGAATGACATAAGGCAGTGGTCTCAAACTCAATTCCTGGAGGGCCACAGCTCTGCAGAGTTTAGCTCCAACCAGCTCCAAATCACACCTGCTTGGAAGTTTCTAGTCATCCTGAAGACATTGATTAGCTGGATCATGGGTGTTTGATTAGGGTTGGAGCAAAACTGTGCAGAGCTGTGGCCCTCCAGGAATTGAGTTTGAGACTAATGACATAAGGTGAGTAAATAATGACTTTTTCATTTTTGGGTGAACTATCCCTTTAAGAAAACAGAAGATTTCTCTTAAAGCAAGCAAAAAGTAAAAGCATCACTGAGTTTCTGGAAAAATTCGGCATCCTGTCACGACAGGGTTTCATTGGAATATTAAAACAAGCTTTTTATCCAGTATTAACAGGCAGTAGGTGGCCCCCAGCCGATTTCATGGCCAGCTTTTGTACCCTGGAAGGCCGAGACACGCATCAAACTGATCACAGCAAAGACAAAAACCCGGCACCCCCTAAATCAGCTCCTAATGCCAATCAAACTGTCTTCCTCAAAGCCATTTAGAGTTTAACAGTTTGCAAACCCCCAGAGATAAAAGGGTTCACACACCCGGGAACAATGGGGTGCTTTCTGAACTGTGCTGTGATCTCTGTTCCCAGTCATAATTAATGTCATGTTGTACTTCAACCCTACTGAACTGAAGTCATTTAGAGTCTGATCATGAACTAGAAAAAGTGCAGTGAGAAGCAGCTACCACTAGTGGGACTCCTTTGGGTTGATTACTATAAAAAAAAATGTTTCGACTTGTCTCTAGTTTCCATTGAAAAAGCAAAAATGGAAGTTACCAAAGTGGCCCTTACATTAGGGCCAATTTTTTAATGATTTAAAAGCAGAAATATGAAGCTTATAATTTTATAAAAGCACTTCGTTTAAAACTTGTGCATTATTTGAGTTGTAAGGCTTTTACAATTAATATTAACCTCCTGGAGCTGTGTGGAGCAATTTTTATGATGGATGGATGCACTTTTTTGGGCTTCAAAATCTCGACCACCATTCACTGGCATTATGAAGCTTGAAAGAGCCTGGACATTTTTTACATTTAACTCCGATTGTATTCGTCTGAAAGAAGAAAGTCATATACACCTAGGATGGCTTGAGGAAGAGTAAATCATGGGGTAATTTTAATTTTTGGGTGAACTATCACTTTAAGATACATAATATTTTAGATGAGTAAAACTAACTTTGACCACTTTCAGCAGGCAGAAACACACTAAATATATAAGCAAAAATAAAATCATCCCAATGTTCTTACCTGTGACTGAAATGAGCCGTCCCCCGCAGACTGGACATGGTTTCTTCCAGGTTTTGCCTCAGATCAGCAATGTTTTTCACGGTACGTAGCCTCTTGGTTTCAGAGTCCTCACCTGAGGAAAACAGACTCATCACCATCACCACAGTCTGCAAACAGCTGCTACCGTAACTCTAAGGCATGTCCAAACACACATATTCACACACCTAAAATGCTTCAAAAAGCCTAAACCCTGAGAATCATGGGATAATGTAAATGAAGCAACTCCAAACTCTGTATTAGCATCACAGCTCTAACGCTGCCTCTTTTGCTTGTGAAGTTAAATCTCCTAGCATTCTGTAAAAGAGCTTTTTGTTTTCTTGCACCAGTGTTAACGAACGAAGCGTTAGCCAACCGCTGCTTAAAAAATAAACACACAGTGTAGCTATGCCATAGGTGAGCAGGTATTTGGCCACTCGGATTAACGGCTGTTTACTGATCATGAGGGGTCCACAAGGGGCTCAGGAGGTACAGAGCAGACTCACACACATTCGCACATGATGTAAAACGTGTAAAAGAATGAATGCCATGGTAAAGTACATTCCTGCAGGCTGTAAACACCACAAACAACCTCTTTTAGAACTGCTCACTGAAGCTAATGCTAAATCTTTGATCACTAGGCGCTACTTGAGTAAAAACAGACTAGCTTCCTCTCAGACCGCTTAAAATATAAACTGTCTCATTCAAAAACAGCATTTAGATTGATATCGGCTTTATTTGGAAGGGATGAAAGTTCATAACCCAATGCAAGTAGGGGCGCAAGCAGGAATTAGCATAAACGTCTATATTCTCTTTTAAGCTAACTGCTGTCATGACCGATTTTTGCTACGTGTTATTATGATCATTTTCATTTAGTTAAGGCTGAAGTGCTCAAATAAATCAAATTAAAACTTTAAATCTATATAGCTTAAACTAATAAAAATTACAAAAACAACAAAATTACTCGAACTTTAAAATTAAAACAGAAAATATAAAAATAAATCTAATTAAAAAAACAACAACAAAAACTATAATAGTATATCAGTTATCCTAAAATATCACTGTTAATAATAAAGTCAGAGAAGAACAGATTCACTGAAGCTGTAGCCTGGCAGTTAACGTACATGCCAATAATTGCCAAAAGGGGGACTACAGCACCTATTAGCAAAAACATCATCTTCCACAGTCATTTTTCTCTTTTAAGCCAACAATTTCAGATTTCAGCTAAGAAAAAAGACAAGACTTTGTTAAGAACAGAATTGCAGAGATGTGACTTAATAGTTCGCACAAATGCTAATATAAAAGACGCAGGTCCATTCCTCCTCTCGCTACTGTCTTTATAAATAAAATGTGATCAAAAAGCCCCAAGAAATGAATAATTAAGACTTTAGGTGTGCTAAAAGCCTCTTGGGTAACTCTTTAAAACGGATAGTCGTCCAACACACACATCTACTTACTTTCATGCTTCTCAAACATATCCAACATGGTTAGAAGGATCTCCTCATTAACACGAGCAATTCCATCCCACACACAAGAGTGTTGGCTCAAATGTAGCTGATATACACAGCTAAATGTGTTAACTTCCCCTTCATTCAAAACCCTTGGTTGAGTGTGTTCAGACAGCCATTTAGAATATGTCGGAGGTCCTCCAGAACTGTCTACACCCCTGAACCTGTCCTTTCTCTCGAGACTGGAGCAGTCGTCTGAGGTGTCCTCATAAGAACCTTCTCTTGTTCCTCCTGTTCTGAGAGGAGATGCCAGCTGACAATGACTTCCTGCTTGGTCCATTGAGAAGACGATTTATTTAGGTCTGCTTCCAGTGGTGCAGGTCTTTTGTCTTGGTTGCAGAAGACGACTTCACAGTGCTACTAATGTCCTGAGTTTTTTTTTTTTTTTTTCTGGTGGCAGCTTGTTCCTGACTCTCCTACGCTTCTGTTAAGATGGATAAATGGTCTGTCTGACACAATCGGAGTTGTTTTCCCAGAGAATGTGCCGACTGATTCATGAAAGAAGCTCTTGTGAGCTTTCCTTTCCTCCGTGGAAAAGAGAGGGGAAATTAGAATACAGCTCTCATGTCTACACCAGCCCAGGGAACTTCCCCTGTGGAGAAGAGTTTTTCTCTCTACACAAAGTTCTGACAGACTGAGAAAGGACACACACACACACATACACTCAGACACACACACACACATGCTGGTAGGCCTTGGCAACTTCTTGACATCCATAGCCTTTTACATGCAGATGAGTGCTGTTTTGTTTTCTTGTTCACTCTCAGCCTGACATTGGCCTCAGAGTGCTCACTTATTCATAAATAATCAGAGACAGTAAATGACCTTGTCCAAACTAGGCATTAGAGTTAGGGAGTAACTACCCAAGAGTAGCAAACACTTGTTCAGCAGAAAATGTTCAGTAGAATGATATAAGACTGTTTTGAAACAGTCCCGACTGTCCTCTCTTTCAAATCTAACACTGGGATATCAGATTAATTATAGCAAACTGTTACTGATTCACTGAAATAATTCAATACGAATCTAGTGCTGTCAAACGATTAATCGAGATTAATCGCATCCAAAATAAATGTTTTTGTTTACATATTATATGTGTGTGTACTGTGTATATTTATTATGTATATATAAATAGGCACAGATACAGAATATATTTTGAAAATATTTATATGTATATATTAACATTCATATAATTTATATTATATATAAATATATGTAATATATAAACAACATTTTTCTTAAATATATACATTCATTTGTATGTATTTATATATACATAATAAATATACACAGTACACACACACATATTATGTAAACAAAAACTTTTATTTTGGATGTGATTAATTGCATTTAATCGTTTGACAGCACTATATGAATCGCTTAAATTATTCACTGTGAATCGCTAAAATGACTTTAAAACACTGAAATTATTATTTGCAATTAATCGCTAAAATACTGTAATGATTCATTATGAATCACTGAACAGATTTACTGTGAATCACTAAAAACAGATTAACTATGAAGAACTGAAGCAATTCACTTTGAATCGATTATTTGTGGCCTTGAGTAGCAGTTCATTTGATGTCATTTTTGTAGCAAAATATTTACTGAAACATAGTTGCTGTTTTTTTCAGTTACAGAATTTTGCATGTTCTCTACTTTTATTATTTTCAGTTTCAACATAGCTTCCCAAACACTGTTAGTCACAACTCAGGTTTAATTTGTCTATACTGTATTTTTTTCTGTAGTGTTGTGAATCAATGAGTACCTGTCAGGTTCTCCAGAGAAGTATGGATGGATTTGCTGCACAGGCCTGTTCGTTCTCTTCTTTCCTCCACTCCTGCCATAAGCCCAGTCTTATCAATTTCTGTTTGAGACTTACTGTATAAAGTGACAGAACAACCTGCTAGTTTAGAGCCAAATAGAGTCTGATGGAGTATCTAGGATAATGCATTCAAGTTATCATAAAGGTGTCACCTGTACATGAATGGGGCGACAGTGGCCGTGTTGGGATGGTTGTATTGTTGTTGGAGCTGTGTAAGTTGTACACTGACCATATTGCTGTCTGTTGAGTGGGTCTGAGCACCAAGAGTGAGATCTTGGCAACTTTTCCCCTCTGGAAATGGTAAGCTAGAAGTCGAGCTGTAGTTTCTGTTGTCTTTCTGCTCTTTATGCACAGACAGACCTCCTATCTTTCCATTCCGTAACCGTTCTCCCTCCGCACCACAAGGGGGCGATGCTACTGTCTTATTTGCAGCTGAAGCCTTTCCTCCCTGGCTTGGTTTAGGAATCCCACTCATGGCTGATTTGGCTTTGCTTCCGTTGGGAACAGACTTCTTAGTCTCGGGTGTAACATGTCCATCGGTTCTGGTATCTCCTTTTAGATGTTCAGGTTCTGTAACAGGAAGCTGTTTGAGCTTGTCTTTCTCTTTAGGCTTTGACTTCTCTTTAACTTTTTCGGTCGCTTTTGCCGAGGCTATTTTGGGTGCTAAAGCCCTTCCGAGCGTCAACTGTGCAATACCCTTCAGCGCTAGCTTGGGACTTGAGCTACCAGAACTGCTGGGGGTGACAGGCCTTTGGTTTCCAACGTGGGCTTCAGGGTGTATGGGGCAAATCTGACCTTCTTCTGGTTCTACAGCACTGACGTCCTCTGTACTGACAACCTTGGAGGTTCTGGAACCAGTTTTGCTGTTGAAGAGCTTGAGCTTTTCCAGCATGGACGTCTGGGCGATCACCTTAGGAGGAACCTCAAGAGAATCTGGGGGTGGTTGTTTAACCATGACCATGGAGGATGTAGCAGTGTGTTTTGCACTGAGCGACTTGCTTCTCCAGGGTTTAGAGGTGCTGGTGCAGCTGGGTGGAGGAATAGAAGAGCTGATTGGTCCATGATCAGCCATTATGGGTGATGGTGTGGTTTTCTCTGCAAATTCAAGATGAAATATAACATTTCAGAAGGTCTTCATCACAACCGTACATGTGCTTTGCAAAATATGCTAAAAATTTCTCATATTGGTGAAGACCAAGGATCTCTAATTTCCATTTCTTTCACTCTGTGAGGTTTCTGAAACTGTACTTAATCTAAACAAATAGTATTTTTATTTAATGACAGAATTGTTAAAATATTATTTTGAAGGTTTGCAAAAATATTCCAAATGTTATATAATTATTATATAATGTAAAATTAATTGGTAAATTGTAAAAAAGTAAAATAAAATAAAAAACTATGTAAATTGAATAATGTTTAAAGGGATAGTTAACCCAAAAATGAAAATTCTGTCATTAATTACGCACCCGCATGTAGTTCCAAACCCGTAAGACTTTCATTCATTTTCAGAACACAAATTAAGATATTTTTGACCCTGCATAGACAGCAATGCAATTGTCCATTCCTCTCTTTTCAAACAAAGTTCACCGCATCCATGTTCTACTTCAGAATGCATCATCGTACTCTCGTGAATGCGCAGCGGGGACTGACACGGAAGATAAGAAATTGCTGAATAAAGTCATTATTTTTGTTTTCTTTGCACACAAAAAGTATTCTCGTAGCTTCATAAAATTACGGTTGAACCACTGATGTCACATGGACTATTTTAACGATGTTCTTACTACGTTTCTGGGCCTTAAATGTGGTAGTTGCATTGCTGTCTATGCAGGGTCAGAAAGCTCTTGGATTTCATCAAAAATATCTTAATTTGTGTTCCGAAGATGAACTGAGGTCTTAGGGGTTTGGAACTGCATGAGGGTGAGTAATTAATGACAGAATTTACATTTTTGGGTGAACTATCTCTTTCAGACAGGCCAAAAATTTATAAAATATATATTTTGAATTGCTTTGGGTCACTTTTTGGACATTTAACTGTAACAGGCAGTTGGCCAAGTAAAGTAGGGAGGTCAAATAGCCACTAAGGCACAGAGAAAGTGGGTCAAATCTTTCAAACGCTAGCAAGTGCAGTCAAGCTGTTGCACATAGACATTAGAAAGTGGGATGCCCATGGGAGTTTGAAAATATGATAGCGTACTGGATGAAGTGCTGAGAAAGGGAACCATGAACTATGAAGAGAAACATCTGAAGTATGTGATGTGATGTATTATATTTATTTTTGAGATAAATCCATGCTGTTTAAAAAAGGAGACTGACTGTGAAGCATTTCTTGATATTTGATACTGTGAAGAAATTATTTATAATTTCCAAGGCACAGTTGTTCATGTGACTAACAATCATTAAAGCTATTTTTCATGCTTACATTACATTTTATATTATATAAAATCAGCATGCATGAAAATTTAGCATGTGATGAAACCAAACTCTGTTCTGTTCAGTTCAATGATCTCATTCAGTATTTCCCTAATTTCATCAGTGGAAAATCAATGTTATTTCCCTGTGGTTGTTTCCTTTGTATACAATTATGAAGTTATTTACCAGCCTGTTGCATGAAAACTCAGTTTAGCATTGCTTACCTTACAGGCAGTCTGAGCAAAATTCCTAACAGTCTCATCTTCCTTGCATGTCTTCCTAACTGCTCAATCTCACTGTATAAAGTTTTGTTATGATCACTGACTTTTTTCTCTCTCTCTGCTTCTTCTGCTCTTGCCACAAGTACACTAATTAGAGCTGAATCAGTGAGCAGTAAATGCCTCTCATCATCATCATACAAACCACACACAGACATGTACATCATGCGTGTGCAAACAGGGAGAATTACTTTATATGGTTTTATGACTTTGGTTTGAATACAAAAATCCACATATTCTCAGTCACTCAACTATGTGACATGTTAGAGGGGTTATCAGCCTAAATAACTCAATGCTGAAGTAAACCGAGCCTGCCGTAATGAAACAACAGTGGGCCAAAAATGTGTCAACAACACAGCATGCAATTACACAATCATAAAACTGTGAACGCTATGAGCAGTTACCCAACTTAGAGATTGAACAAATCGAGGGCGGATGGTTTAGAGCACTCATTCTATGCAAGAAAAATGTTAAAATTAAAATATTGAAAAATTTGAGACAAAATGTTGTTGAAAAATGTCCAATAACAGATGGTTAAAAAAATAAATATAACTATGCTGTTGTCTTCATGATACTTTTATGGTTCTTTATGGGCCTTTTTGACCATAAAGTCCAAGTCCATTTCATTTGTACGCTTTTTTTCTAAGCATTTACATATTTAAAAATACCAGTTTTATTTAAAATAAATATATAAAATAAATAAATAATAAGTAAATAAATAAAAGTTTTTAGATAATATATTTACATTTTAAAAATACCAATTTTATTTTCTAAAACGAATAGTAATTATTTTTTTTATAATATATTTTATTATAAATATAAATGTTATTTTCTGACGTTTTTTTTTTAAACCAATTTGAGCAAGTAAAAGTCAGATAAATCTCTACAATTTTTCACATGTAAGCCTTATAATTCCATGGGTGTCGTGGCGTAGTGGTTAAAGATCTGGGTGAAAGGTTATAGGTTTGATTGAGCAAGGGACTTAGGGTCATTTCAAGATGGTTTTTCTTGTAACAGATATACAAACTTAATAACAGCTTTTACCAAACAACTGCTTACATACTCTTACATAAACCACATGGATAATTTCAGATTGTGTAAATGAATGCGATTAACTCACCTCTTTCATGAGCGCAGGCAGAGATTGATGGCTTTAATCGGTCACATTGGTTGAAGCTTTGGCTGCGTCTGTTGGTGTTTGAGGTTCGAGGTTTACTCTCTCCACCTGCCCTCACTGAGGGGCTCAGAAGCCTGACAAAGAGTTCAGTCAGAACAAGATCATCCTTTAAGTATTTATGCTGCAAAAACACAAGACTGGAGTGCCAATTATATAAATAAACCTCAGTGACCTTTTTATAAAATCCACATCTGATCATATGAACCAGAACAAAATGACTATTGATGGGATTCACATGCTTTTTTGGCCCTGATGACACAAGATTGGATTATGTGGAATCGCAAGATCACCAGTAGATGGTGCTGTTGTGTAGTAATATACTGGGAACATAAGGAGATGTAAATCAGGCATGGTGTGATATAGAAATGTGGAAAGCTGACCTAGAGTTCTTTTTCTGAGCAACTGAGAGTCTGACAGCTTTTTTCTGATTGGAGCCTTTTGAGGGATGACTTCAAGAGCGAGGAAAAACAAAAGAGAAAGAAAAAGGAATGGACAGAAAAGTTAAGTGTTAAGAGTTAAGAAGAAATAACCACTGAAATTAAAATTGTAAAAATGTATTTTTGTTAATTGAAATAAAGCTGATAAATTATTAAATAAAATATAAATATTAGATTAAAAACTTAAAACGTAAAAAAAAGTTGCCTTGGCAATTAACTGACATAAAATAAGTTTAAGTGGAAATACTAAAATGACAAAACCTAAAACTGAAATAAATATGAAGCTAAATAAAAATACTTAAAAAAATAAAAATGACAAAGGCACAGATAAAAATACAAAAAGTAAAAGCCAATGAAAAATATTAATAATTATTATAATAGCTATTACAAAATAATACTAAAACAACACTGAAAATAAAAGAACTGGGAAGTTAGAAATGGAAATGATAGGTTAATTGTAAAAATGTTGAGAGTGTAAAAATTTAAAAAGCTATAAAGAGTAGTTTAAGAGAATCTGAAACTTACAAATTTAATGCAGTTTTTACACAACATTGCAATTTATGCAAAAAAGTCTCAAAATCAGAATTTTTATGATTTTAAAATGTAACATGTTGGCCACTTTAGGTACTAAAAAAAAAAAAAAAATAATAGATAAATAAATAAAGGACATTTTCCTCCATCCAAATTATTTAAAGCTGATTACTGATGTGTCAATCCAGCTGCTATGGAGTCTGTCTATGAAAAAGCTACCCAGTATATGAGTTGGAGAATAATACCTGGACTGCATGTCTGTCTGAGGTTTCTGTGCACATGGGGAGGAGGTGTAGTGTTGGTGGATGGGAGAAGGACAGGGAGAGCTACAGGGAGGAGTGTGAGGAGGCAGGGCAGGAGTGGAGCATCGGTGGGCCTGGTTGTTCTGGAGCAACTGAACATTGCTGGAGGCCTGTTTCAAAGTCTGCTGCTGCTGCCGGAAACGTGACAGAGTGAAGAACAGGCCTAAAATGGCCTTCAGATTGCCATTGCGGATCTCTGGTTTGGCAGAAAAAGAATCTTGCTGACATATTGTTTCAAATATTAATGAGCACTGGCTTAGTTAAGAGTCGGCTCACCTTCAGCGCAAAGTCCCTTTATATTTACCCCTTTAGCAGCAAGGAAGCCCAGACAGGCATCAATGTTCTCAATCTGTTTAAGAGAAAAGCATGGGCATACATCAAGAGATTGCCTTCCTTGGAAAATGTGACCCCACCATAGCTGGTTTACACACTACACTCAGGTGTACAGGGCATATAATCCAACAGATGGTGCTCAATAGGGAAGATTTGTAGTTTACAACCCTGTGGGTTCGTCCTGCGGTGTTCCTGTGACATTACAATGTATATCCTGACCACTGGCGAGACGACAGACTATAGCACGCACCAGGGTTTTAAGGTCAACAAGACCTGCCATTGTCCTCACTGAGATTGTTTCTTAAAGAGACAGTTCACCCAAAAATTAAAACGCTGTCATCATTTTCTCACCCTGTTTTTCAGTCATGTATATTTTTGACATAAATGGAAGATTTTGAGTGAACAGGAACTTACTGTATAGCCTAACATATGAAATAATAGTCAGTAAAATCAATTAAAGAATAGTTTTTTCAAACCTTATGACAAATAAAACAAAAGAAGTCTGCATGCATTTTTTGTTGAGCATCATATTTGATATATTTTATGGCTCATAAAGCATGATATAGGAGAATATGGAACTAATATTCAAGAAGGAAAAAAACAGAGGTCCAAACTGAGAAAAAAATGCAGTTTGGTGCAGATGTTATTTATATGGCCAAAAAGTAAGATGAACTTCTGATAGCTTGAAATGTATAACAGTATAAAAGATTACTTGCATAAAATGCACATAAATAACAGTTGTCACTCTGTATCTTCCAGTAATGTCTTAATAAGATGTTTTTAAAGCATAGTTTTATGATGTATGGATAAACAAGTAAACCTAAGTTGATTCAGTCCAGAAAGTGTTCATCTTGAAATATTACTAACAATATAACAGTTATTTTTATGTTTACGTTATAAAAAGTAAGTGAAGATTTCATAGCAAAAAGCAACCTGAAGAAGGACGTTTTGGGAATTAAACTGAAATGCCCTTTACTTGCTAAAAAGTATAAACTATTAATCAGATGACAGAAAGGTTGTAGTAGATTGTGTACAACAGTCTTTTTGATCATCATCAGTTTTGATCATGTTGATAATTTAAACATTTGCATGTTAAATGTGACCCTGGACCACAAAACCAGTCTTAAGTGTCAATTTTTCAAAATGTATACATCATCTGAAAGCTGTATATAAATTGTTAGGATAGGACAATATTTGGCCAAGATACAACTATTTGAAAATCTGGACTCTGAGGGTGCAAAAAAAATCAAAATATTGAGAAAATCGCCTTTAAAGTTGTCCTTAGTCCTTAGCAATGCATATTACTAATCAAAAATTAAGTTTTGATATATTTACGGTAGAAAATTTACAAAGTATATTCATGGAACATGATCTTTACTTAATATCCTAATGATTTTTGGCATAAAAGAAAAATCTATAATTTTGACCCATACAATGTATTTTTGGCTATTGCTACAAATATACCCCAGCGACTTAAGACTGGTTTTGTGGTCCAGGGTCACAAATATGACAGTAGGATTCACTGGGTTAAATTTCAGAACAAAACCTTGTAATATAGAGCAGATGCCGTATGGACTACACGTATGGTGCTTTTTCTGTCCTTTTTGGAGTTGACAGTTTGTGGTTTGTTTCTTTTCCCAACACGCATTTTGAGTCTTACCATTTGAGAGCGACTCTCTGGGAATCCGTTGATATCGGCAATCTTCTCATTTGCTGAATGGAAAGATGAAAAAAAGGAATGGCACTGAATTAAAGTAACACCTATACCTGTTGGTTTTATGAAAACATCTTCGACTTTGTGTGGTAGTCAGGCTTTTGCATGTATAACAGGAATCCTCCTCTGGCAAATGTTTATTTTATTTCAGCTTAATAAAATGTTCACAACTCAGTTTGTAGCCTCATAAACCATCTACAAATTGCCCCTTTTCAGAAACTGATCTCATAAAACAGTTTCAAAACACATTCAAAATAATAAAGGTGGTGAGTTTTTTTGATGCTCATGTGTGTCCATTTCTTTCCCAGTCCTCCTCCTCTACCTCCTCATTATGGTTAGAATTACCGGTACGGTGGAGCAAAATTGTAGGTTTGATGTATTAATTTTTTTCTTAAGGAAGAGGGGGGAGGGGGGTTGTTGAATTATGGAAAATTATTTTTTATATCTTTAATCTTACCTACAACCTGAATGATTTCTGCCAACAAAACGCCATCGGCAACATCCTGTTGGAGGTCTTTAATCAGGCGTGTGTGTCCGGACTTGGCTAGGTAGTGGTTGGCCCAATCTGTATAAATCTATTCATTCAAAGAAAAATAGAAAGAGACCGAATGAGGAAAAAGCACTTAACATCAAACTTTGGGTTCAGATTTTATATGGATGAAAGACAAATGCCACATTGTGGTCCATAAGCTACCATTTAAATATTAGAGTGTGGACAGGGAAATTTTCAGGAAAACTAATATAACAGGTTGTCAAAGAAGTCTGGAATACCAAACTGTACAAATTATTTTTAAAATGGTTATAGCTGAAAAATATAATTTAATACTTCATAATACATGGTATATACAATAGTGTCCAATTAATCCAAATATTTTTTGGATTAAAAATATATTTTTAAAAAATCAGCAAATAATAATAATAATAAGAATAAATATTTTAAATAGTTTTTACTAGTGCTGTCAAACGATTAATCGCGATTAATCGCATCCAAAATAAAAGATTATGTTTACATATTTTATGTGTGTGTACTGTGTATATTTATTATGTAAATACACACTTATACAGTATATAGTTAGAAAATATTTACATGTATATATTTCTATTCATATAATTTATATTATATATAAATATATTTAATATATAAACAATTTTTTTTTTAAATATATACATGTGTGTGTATTTATATATACATAATAAATATACACGGTGCACACACAGATATTATGTAAACAAAAACTTTTATTTTGGATGCGATTAATCGTGATTAATCGTTTGACAGCCCTAGTTTTTATAAATATACACAAATTATAAAATGTCTAATAAAAATACTATATTTATTTCTGTTTTTAATTTAATAAATATTTTTAATTAAATATATACAAATAAAAAAAAAATGCCTGTCTGTTTTTATTTAAACTAAATAAAATTGATTTTATTTAAATAAATATGAAGTCTCATCAAATATTACAATTGTTGTTATTTGAATAAATATTTGAAAAAAATTATTTTAAAAATATTTATAAAATTATATGCCTAAATGAAAGAAAATGGTAGTTTGAGCAAACAATAAGACAGGACAAAGATGACAAAGTAAGACCAAGTAAAGCACATTGCATTATGTGACAATATTCCATGCAGTGTGTTCTTGTTAATACAGACTGAACTGAGTATTTTATGCATACAAAACACTATGCATGGTATATATACAGCAACATTAGCTACTATAGTACTATGCCATTCCAAAGATACCTGATGACTAGTTTGTTTTTCCATAACTATCATGCAATTACACAAAGTGAGCATCTGGGAGGCAGCACGGTCTCAAAAGGCCTAGTCTCTGACTACCACTAGTACATAGGTCAGAAATAAAGGGTTGTTGGTGTTTTGTTGCTGGTCTAGTTATGTCTAAATGGGTCTAAATAGGACAAACATATAATAAGAACTGGTGTGTCTGCACATGATGCAGATCAGAGTCAAACACGAGTTTAAAACTGGAGCCACTGCTGGTTTTAATACAGAGACTCCTTGTGAGTTCTGCAGGGGGCTGTTTGTATTTCTGCCCACAGAGCCTGGAGAACTGCTCCACCCATTCGCTGTAAACAAAAACTCTAGGCTGCGGTGGACAGCATGTGGGAATAATAATCTCGAATAATAAAAACATAGGGGAAGAGCTATGCGTAACCAGGTTTAATGTTAACATGAACAAGCATTACGTGGTTAAAGTAATAACAATAAAACAAATATAGCACATTTAACATACCAGACCACATTAGGGGTCTAAAAGACCTCCCAGTCATTTTCACAACTTGAAAAGTGTATTGATAAAGTATCAGGTTAATACTTAATCTATTCTTATGAGAACTATTTAGAAACTAACAAACAAGTAAATCATAGCAAAAAAAAAGAAAAGAACTGGTAGTGTTTTGTGTCAATAGACTAAAAAACTGTTAAATATTAGTATTATTTATAAATTATTATAGTATTTATTCATTGTCACGGTTGCCTTCTGTGGCGAAACGAAGAGACATGGGATAAACTCAAAGTAAATATCTTTAACCATCCAAGACAGGGTAAAACAAGGCAGGCAGGGACACACAGGAAACACAACATCGACGTTCAATACCGGACAAACTCATAGACAGGAACTTAAGTACATGGGGTAAATGACAAGACACACCTGGGAGCAATCAACAATCAAACACATGGGAAAACCAAATGAACATAACAAACTATAATGAGGACAGGAACATAACCAAATAAGGGCATATAGAAACAGGAGGCAGGAACAGAGAAACAAAAACAAAACAAAAATAGACCATAAACGTGACATTACTCCCTCCTCCTGAAAGGCGCGTCCTGCGCCGTAACAATTACACCGTTGAGGGCGGGGGGGGGGCGCCCTGGAGGCTGGTGCAGGACGGGGACAAGGAAGGCCTCCAGGGCGGATCAGACGGTTTGGGAGGCCATGGTGGAGCAGGGAGCTCGGGAGCAGGAGCCCTCCGTGGGCTTAACTCGGGAACTGGAGACCTCACTGGGCTAAACTCGGGGGATGGAGCGAGCTCTGGGGCTGGAGCCCACAGTCCCTTCCTCCGTAATCTCCTCTTTTGGGCTGAGGAGAGGGAGATGACCGGCGGGCTTGACATCGGCGTGGCCGGCGGGCTTGTGGGAGCCGCAGCCGGCGGGTTTTTCTTCGGAGCGGCCGGCGGGCTTGAGTGAGCCGCGGCCGGCGGGCTTGACAACGGTGCAGCCGGCGGGCTTGTCTTCGGAGCAGCCGACAGGCTTAACAACGGCGCGGCGAAGCATGCGGCGGTTTCCATGCCGCGGGGGAAACACAGGAAAACAAAAGAAAAAATTTTCAAAAACCGGAAAACAAAACGGGGAGAAGGAGCACCGCTTACTGCTGTGCTGGTCCTGTATTCTGTCACGGTTGCCTTCTGTGGTGAAACGAAGAACGAGGAGACGTGGGATAAACTCAAAGTAAATGTCTTTAATCATCCAAGACGGGGTAAAACAAGGCAGGCAGGGACACACAGGAAACACAACATCGACGTTCAATACCGGACAAACTCAGATAACACAGACAGGAACTTAAGTACATGGGGTAATTGACAAGACACACCTGGGAGCAATCAACAATCAAACACACGGGAAAACCAAATGAACATAACGAACTATAATGAGGACAGGAACATAACCAAATAAGGGCATACAGAAACAGGAGACAGGAACAGAGGGAAAACAAAACAAAAAACAGACCATAAACGTGACATTCATATTTTGACATCTTTAATTTTTAGCAATAAATTAGTTTTAATTTTAGTAATTTTATGTGCTTTTGTCATTTTTATTCTCTTTTCAAATAATTCTATTTAATTTACTTGTATTTTTAACTCACTTATTTCAGTTTCTTTAATTTTTTTAATTACATTTTTAATTTTCCAAGTTTTTCATCTAATATTTACATTTTATTTTAGCTTTATTTCAATTACTGAAACCAGTTTTTAATAGTTTTAGTTAAAAGTAACAGTACTGCTAAAAAAGATACTTCCAAAAAAGTATCATGGTTTTGTTACACATTTACCATGCTAATGCCATTTGAAGTATCACAAAACTTAGAGGACCACGTAAATACAAAATTTCAGTATGATTACAGTAATCATTCAGTACTAAATCAAAGTACTATGGTAAATTCACACCAAATCACTAAACCAAACTATGGTACCACCAAAGCACTTTTTGCTAAAACAGAGCAAACCTGCCGCACTACATTTCTTCATTTAAGTTTCAAGATAAATTCAACAAAAATAAGCAATTAAATTGGTGTAGGACAATTTAGAGAGCAAAAAGCAGTCCCTAAACTTATGTAATGGACTTTCCATTCCTCATCATTTTTGGTCATTTCAATCATTTCCAAACAGAAAAAGCAGATATTTAACAAACTAGTAACTGCAATCGTCACGTTGTTTTACAAGGCAGTCAACCGTGTCTGAAACAGCAACCTAATCCTTACACTAGCACAGTCCCAAAACAAATTTAGTGCCATTTTCTTTAAAGTGAAGCATTTTCCAGCTTCCTGGCCAGAACAAAGAGGGACAGAGGTGCAGTGTAAGGGCATGGCAGTATATTAGTAGCAGTGTTTGCTGAATGGTGCCCACTACTGGCCTCTGGGATTGGTGTGTGTGGCCTCCATATGGCCAAATGCCCACCTGCAGTGCGGCTCACCGCTACTAATGGAGCACTGTAGTAAAACCTCCATGACCGTGTCTATGTGTGCGTGTGCGCTGTAATTACAGGCCAACTGGCTGAGCTTTTCATTCTAGCCCGCCACATGAAGAACTTGGCTCTTCACTGCCTTTAAGGCTCTACTGAACGTATGAATCTATATAAACACATGTACACACACACACGCAAAGACATGAACGTACACACCCCTGCCGTGGACCAAAGGAAGAACATTGCGATTTTCACCGACGATTTGCTCTGACCAGGTCAGCAGGAGCTATTCTTATAAAGCATAATATTTTTAACGCGTAAATATATAAACACATGAGCTTTCAGTGGGGAGCTCTACAAACAGAAGTTACAATGGTGGTAATGTGGCCAAAGTGAAACTGTTTCTAAAACATGAATACAACTGACACGCATATTGTGGTGTAGTGGTATTCCTACATCATCCCTACAGTTGTTGCAGATCAAGTCATTGTGGAATATAGGCACAACGCATTAACAAGCTCTGAAAAGTTTGAATTTCAACATGACAAACTACAAAAATATTCTCTAGTTTTTTTTTTTTCTGTTCATTAACATTCCAATAGCAACTTGCATTGAAGCCAGATTCTGCTATAGATTAAAAAAAGAAGTAAATAATTGTTATTGTTACATTGTGAGATTTAAAGTCACAACTACGAAAAAAGAAGCTGTGAGATATCAAGTCACACTGTGAGAAATACTCACATTGTGAGAAATAAAGTTGCAGTTATGAGATAAAGTCTGTACTCTGAGAAATAAGTCATTGTGAGATTTAATGCTGCAATAGTGAAATATGAGAAACAAATCCATTGTTTTTAGACACAACATTGCAAGTATGAGAAATGAAGTTGTAATTGTGAGATAAAATTGAGATGATATTGTAGATATAAAGTTGCAATTACATGAGACAAAACACACAGTAAGATATAAAGTCGCAATTATGAGAAACAGTCACAACTGTAAGATAATCACATTGCGAGAATATAAAGTTCAAATTATGAGAAACAAAGTCACATTGCAAGATATAAAGTTGCAAGTATAAGAAAAAGTTGCAATTGTGAGATATAGTTGAAATTACGAGAAAAAGTCGCAATTGTTGTGAGATATAGTCACATTGCAAGATATAGTTGCAAGTATAAGAAACAATCGTAATTGTGAGATATAAAGTCACAATTACTAGAAAAAGTTGTAATTGTGAGATATAGTCACATTGCAAGATATAGTTGCAAGTATAAGAAACAATCGTAATTGTGAGATATAAAGTCACAATTACTAGAAAAAGTTGTAATTGTGAGATATAGTCACATTGCAAGATATAGTTGCAAGTATAAGAAACGATCGCAATTTTGAGGTATAAAGTCACAATTAAGAGAAACAAAGTCCTAATTGTGAGATAGTCTCATTCCAAGATATAAAGTTGCAAGTAAAACAAAACGTTGCAATTGCGAGACAGAACATCACAATTACGAGAAACAAAGTCGTTATTGTGAGATATAGTCTCACTGCAAGATATAAAGTTGCAAGTATAACAAAAAGTCACAATTGTGAGATATAACATCGCAATTACGAGAAACAAAGTCATTATTGTGAGATATAGTCACGCTTCAAGATATAAAGTTGCAATTATGAAAAGCAAAGTTCCACTGCTGCACGATATAAAGTAGCAAGTATAAGAAAAAGTCACAATTGTGAGATATAAAGTCGCAATTATGAGAAACAGTCACAACTGTAAGATAATCACATTGCGAGAATATAAAGTTCAGATTATGAGAAACAAAGTCACATTGCAAGATATAAAGTTGCAAGTATAAGAAAAAGTCGCAATTGTGAGATATAGTTGAAATTACGAGAAAAAGTCACAATTGTTGTGAGATATAGTCACATTGCAAGATGTAGTTGCAATTATAAGAAACAATCGTAATTGTGAGATATAAAGTCACAATTACTAGAAAAAGTCGTAATTGTGAGATATAGTCACATTGCAAGATATAGTTGCAAGTATAAGAAACGATCGCAATTTTGAGGTATAAAGTCACAATTAAGAGAAACAAAGTCCTAATTGTGAGATAGTCTCATTCCAAGATATAAAGTTGCAAGTACAAGAAAACGTTGCAATTGCGAGACAGAACATCACAATTACGAGAAACAAAGTCGTTAATTGTGAGATATAGTCTCACTGCAAGATATAAAGTTGCAAGTATAACAAAAAGTCGCAATTGTGAGATATAACATCGCAATTACGAGAAACAAAGTCATTATTGTGAGATATAGTCACGCTTCAAGATATAAAGTTGCAATTATGAAAAGCAAAGTTCCACTGCTGCACGATATAAAGTAGCAAGTATAAGAAAAAGTCACAATTGTGAGATATAAAGTCGCAGTTATGAGAAACAGTCATAATTGTGAGATACAGTCACACTGCAAGATATAAATCTGCAATTATGAGAAACAAAGCCAAAAAGAAAGACAAAGTCGTAATTATGAGAAACAAGGCTGCAATTCTGAGATATTCTGAGATAAAAAAAAGTCACAACTATAATAGTAGATATTATTTCTGATGTGGTCAATCTATGGTACCATGAAGACAAAAAAAGCAACAAGTACAATCTTTAATAATTACTATTTTTGTTATTACTATACTAAGTATAAACTAAGTATCCACTGTCTGTGTGGAATCAAACTATCCAAGGAAGATCATCCAATAGAACAAGAATCAATGCAATCACAAAGCCACATACAAATTAAGCATCAGCATTCCAACCTGAGGGTCTTCTGATGTTTCTTTGGTGGTCTGGTTCTTTTTCTGTAAAGTCGCACTGCTTTGACTTTGCTGCCTGTAGATGGGAGACTTCAGGGTGATGAGGCTGGGCTGCACAGGCTTCTGGTGGGTCGCTACCCTGGCTGGAATGGGTAGAGCGGTGCCATGCACAGGTTTGGGCAGTTCCGACTTCATCTTGGAGGCAACTAGAATAGCAGGCATCTTCTTATGCTTTTACATCCAACCACGCAGACACTGGCACAAAGTTGTCTGGTTACAACCAAAGGCTTGGAGCAACCGCACATGCTGACTTAACAGCTGGAGCAATGCGGTGAGAAGTGTGTCCACAAACTCACATTCATACAGCACTGGGAAGCTCGATTACACACAAAGGTCTTGCAAAACCTTCTAATAATATGATTTTCCCATGACAATCGGCCAAATCCTTCCCCGTCATCAGCATCTTCTGTGTTTTTCTTGTCCAATGAAGCTCTTACTCCATGTACGACTTGAGATCTAGACTCCGCCCGCCACCTGCTCCTAGTTCCACAGCAGCGAGGAGTCGCTCAATATAGCCCAGCGCAGCCGCTGCTGAGAAGCAAACACACTCTGGCAGGCAGAAATCACAGATAAGTGGGAAGGCAGGATGCAATTTGTTGTCAGAGCAAAAGGAAACTTACAGTTTGTACACGGAAGTGTTACCAGCCTCCAGATGCAGTGGCAACAAGGCGATACTCTCAAGCTTGAGAAGGATTAACAAGCCATTAGCAAGACAGCAGATGTGTCTTATGGGAAAACTCAACGCTAACACCCCTGGGTGACAGCCTAATCAGACATAATATCACCCTTCTCGCCAATGCACGGGAGAAATGGACCATTAGCAAGCAAAGAAGAAAAGTCTTGCATTAGTTCACAGCTTTTTAAACGTTTTAATGTCACAGACCCCCAAATATGATGCTAAAAAATGGCAGCTTTGTATTTTGATTAAATATAAAGACCCATTTAAACTGTGGGGGAAAAAAGTGAAAAACTTTTAAATAATATCTGGAAATATTAAGTTGACAATCTATCTTTTTTTATGCACACTGTTAGATATATAAATCTGAAGAGAAATATAGGGCTGTCAACACATTAAAATAATTGTGAACAATCTTAATCATCAATATAAAATAACATATATATTAAATAAAATGTAAATAAATTTAAATTAAAAAAAAATCTATAGATTTTTTTTTCTGAACTTCTCTTGAGTCCTTTTCTTGAGTTCTAATTGTGTTCTAAGGAAACCCAAATTGATGCTGTTTAACAATCTGGCTGTACAATCATAACTAACTACAAGTTGATTTAATTGTAGCAAAATGTTAAGAAGAATCAGTTGTCAAACAACAAAGCAGTTTACCCACTGCCAAAAACATCTATTAAGCATTATTAAAATCAGTAAAAGACCAAAATGGCCTCAAATTCTAAGTATTTTACTTGCAGTTAAACTGATGTATGCGGTTTTACCATTCTAGAAATATTAAGTCTCGTTCGCCCTGTTTTTCAGAAGTCGCTGAATTCCCATGCCCGGTCGCGTTTCTAACAGCATGCTGAGAGAGGGAGCGTTTGGTTATTCATGCAGGCCGAGCTGAGGCTTTGGGAGGATGAAATTCTGTTGGAGCAGCAGTTTTGAGTGTCTGCAGATTGAACCCAATAATCCCTGCGGGGACGAGTGAAACCCACTGCCTCTCTGCAGCCTGGCACTGATGCATTGTGTCCTCTGAGAACCACTGTCCACTGACTCCAAAACTATGTTGAATGTGCAAAAATTGAGATGATGCCAGGCCAGCAAGGACCTGATATATTAACTACTGCTAAACTGATACCTCTTACCCAATGTTTTCTTGTAAACAGGAATAAAAATGGGTGATATCACAAGTTCACCTCAACAGGTACAAAAGTTTGTGATTTCTGCACCACTAATGTCACCAAAACCCCCTCGTCTTCCATTGGATGAACAAACAGATAGTGTTGGCATGTTGGACTCTTTCAGATCCTTAAAACAGTACTGAGAATCAAGCAGATGATGTTGTAATAAACCTACCGCAGGAATGGTGGGTGGTAGGTGCAGGTTGCTAGGTTGAGGCTTTGACAAACACACGTGCAACCACAACACACAGCAAGGCATCAGTTTTACAGACCCATGTTGTTAAACTGGATTTGATCATTGAAACCACAAGAACACTTCTTGAAGGCATACTACTTTTGGATGCCAACATCCACAACAGAAGATGCCCAGAAGTACATGCCCAATCAATTTCACCCACATTTCATTTTTAAAGATGGTCCTTAATGCACTTTAGATATGGAAATGATCAGTTTTCCCATAATTATAGATCTGGGCCAGTAACTGAAAGGTTGCAAGTTCAAATCCCAATTTTAAACTTTACTTGTTGAACGAATGAATGAATGAATGAATGAATGAATGAATGAATGTAAAATGAGAAAAATGTAAATAATTGACAAAACAAATTAAATTAAAATACACTTCCATTACTCCAAAATTAATTAAAACATAAAACATTCAGATGACTGGTGAAAAATGTCCAAATTAACCTGAATTCACCCTCATAGAATAGGCCCGGAAACCAGCGGCGCCCCTGTAGATACCGAATATATTGTAATTTTTTTATTTTTTTTATTCCATCATTATCATAAAAAATTAAAATGCCACTAGATGCACCAGAAATGTAATGCTGACATTTAACAGCATAAACACTGAAACTGAAATTAAACACTAAATCCAATTCCAGAACACTGTAACAAACACATTAACAAAAACTAAGCTAAATTGAGAGTACAAATGGATAGAAAAATAGAAATAGAAACCATAACGAGCCTGGTTATAATCAAATTTCTCACACCTTATCCACCTAGGAGTTATATTTTCTGTAACAAAATCGAGGAAAAACCGAGTCATTTCAAGTCAAGTCAAGTCAAGTCAAGTCTGCTTTATTGTCAACTCTGTAGAAGGTGTACATGATGGGGGCCGGGGCTCTGGCTCTTCTTAGTTTGCGGAGGAAGTAGAGACGCTGCTGTGCTTTTCAACAGGTATCTGCACGAACGCAACAAATGGATAGCTATCCGATCAGAGAAAACGCATGAAGTGACCAGGTGTAAACAGGCCCATTTTCTCTCTAAAGACCAGAGAAAGTCAGTGCACACTACAGGGGGTCATCTGATGGAGACTGTCCAGTTCATTAACAACTCTTTCACTAAAGTTAGCCTTTAAACAGAGCCCAAGAGGATCAGCTTATTCCATATGGCCACTTGTTGTGAGTGTACATCTGCCCACATCACTCTCAATATGTTGAGTGTGACAGAGTATGCCAGCTTACTTCTTAGATTACGGCTACCTTAAACTGTAAGGACAAGTCAACAACATGCTGGTCTTGGGATGGACAATGCTCACTGAATGTCTTATAATGTCTTTATAATTAGCAATTTTGGCCTTTTTTAATAATAAAAAAACAACAACTTGCAAGTAGTCTATTATATCACCACGCTAGCAGCTTGATCCAGAGGGCATCAATGGATCATATCAGACAAACGTGTGTGCAGGATGTGAAACAGACACTCCACTTCAGCAAATCTCTGCAGTTGACAGTCACAGGAGATTGACACCTTGGACTATCAGCTGACCGAAACACAATCACGTTCAAATCTAAAACTAAGCACTTTGTGGTACACATTCATACACACATTCTTGTTCCCATTCTTGATAGTACAGACCTAAAAATATCTAAGTCTTAACCATTTTTGCTTCATATACGTTCACTGCTGTCTACAACTGATAAACACAATATTCAGGCATATTCTGAAATACTGTTCACCATTAAGCAGAGTGCAGGCCAAATGTCAGCTGCACATGGACAGTGGCAAGCTTCTGCTGAACAGGATGCAGACACACAGATAGCAATACACTATCAGCACGACGCCTGACTGAAGCTATGTACTGCTTTTTAAAAACCTACTCAGAGACGTGCGATCTAGTAGGAAAAACTGTTTGATGATTTTTGGGAGCTAGGCATTGAAAAAGGTCACATGTGACCAAAACGTTGGCCTTGGTGCCTTGTTTTTTTTCAGGAAATTTTATATCGCATGTGAGAGTGTGCAGACTTTTTTCCAAGTCATTTACTTTTGGGAAACCTTTTTGGTCTACGCACCTTGTTTGGATTGTTTTGAAGGCGCGGTGAGTTATTCTGGCTGTTTTAAAGAAAATTATAAAAATTGCTATTTTTTTAATATAGTTACACATTTTGTCATGCTTGCCAATTCGCAGGGGACCAAAGAACATGCCCTTTTGAAACTATATAATAATAATGATTTAACAACCGCACACAATTGTTATGAACTCAAAATAATGTACCATAATACTTAGTGCTGTCAGACGATTAATCGCGATTAATTGCATCCAAAATAAAAGTTTTTGTTTACATAATAAATGCGTGTGTACTGTGTAGACTTGTGCCGGTATTCGGTAATGCGATATATCACGGTAATACTGTATTATGACAGCACTTTAAAAAAAAAAAACTAAATATCAGTACCGTGATAATACCGCATACCGTGATAAAAGCATTAGCAATTAATCGCAACATGAAAATTTGATACCGGCATATCCCTAGTACTGTGTATATTTATTATGTATATATAAATACATACACATACAGAATATATTTAGAAAATATTTACATGTATTTACATGAATATTAGGGAATACGTTTTCGATATGGGGGGGGGGGCGGTGTAATTGGTTACGTCGCAATGTTGGAAATATTTCTGTTTTAAACCATGAAAGTGAGCCAATAGATATCACACAAGCAACGCGCAAACTTTGCGCAAGAGTTGTGCCGGTGAACGTCTTAATCTCAGTCAATTCACTATGCAGAAAGTGAAAGTAAAAACGGAATGACGGAGCTTTCGGCATCGGACGCTGCATATTCTCTCAGAGACGACGAGAGACAAATCTACTTCAACATGATAACGGTATATAGCTAACTGTTTTAATTTATTCCCTTAATATTTCTCTTGTGGCCCGTTAATAGTGGGAAAAAATGAGAAGAAACGTATTCCGTGTTAAACAGGTTGTTTTTGAAAGTCGGTGCTTGAAATAGGCTAATGCCTATTATATAAACCTAAGATTTTTATTGATGACTGCAGTGTTAATATTTTAATTATAGGCCTATAATTCATTGTATAATAAGGGTGTGAATTGGCACTGGTTTCACGTTTCAATTCGATTACGATTATCATGTCAACGATTCAATTCAATTCGATATCACAATGCATCATGATTATATCAAATTTATTTTGTGTATTTTTATTAAAGGTGCCATAGAATGCAAAAATCACTTTTATAAGGTATTTGAACACAGTTGTGTGGCCGCAGTGTGTGAAAACAACCAGCCTATAATGGTAAAAATCCACCCACTCATTGTTTTATAATCCCAATAAATCATAAATTGTCGCTCCACACTAGCAGTTCCAGATTTCTCACTACTATGACGTCATACTCGGGGAAAGTCTCGCCCATTTGTGATGCTCTCTGCCCTATTAGCATATACACAGCCCTGAGTGAGAAGCAGCGGTCCGCCATTACTGTTTTCTTGCT